ATCATATTTCTCTCAAGCATGATTAGAAAAATATGAGAGTGAGTGTAAAAGCACTTATGTGGTAATATTTGGTAAAGTATACCTTGTCAAATGGCCTAAATTGAAACCATAATTACTACATTTCTAATTTTATGAATCGTATGCATAAAAGTCACATACAAAATTCTCATATCTTATCTTTGGAAACTGAAATATCTCAATTAAGTGACTGACATTGTAATTTACTACATCTAGGCAGCAATAAACCATGAAAATATTATTCTAGAATGTTAATATCTCTGTGACCATCACTGAGATCTAATTAAAAACTGGTAAGGTTCATGAAGCATATAACTATTGCTGGCTCTTCAAGTACATCTCACAAAGAGTGGATAAGCCCACACAACTACAATGACCAACTCTCACTAAGACCATGTGAGAAGTAGATTGATATACTTATGGAATTTTAACCGCAATTACAGTATGTTACAGACTTTCTCACATTTCACATAACACTGCTATGCAGCATAAATATTGAAATGTAAAATATAATTAACTAAGTGGCACTCCCATGTAGAGTATTAATCATCTAGAAAGACCAACGAGCATTTACATAACAGCGTAACTTTCACATTAGGAAGTGGTGTGCATAAAGTGAGATACAACATGGGAGGGCCACCATGTTGTAAAACTTTATTAAAAAATAACATTTTCATAATTAAGTTTTGTTTTTAGAATGCAATCAGCTACATAGATGAACTAACACAATTTCAGATTTGAGCTCTCAAGATATGATTCAAGGAAATCATATTTCAGTCACAAGATTCGATTAAATGTATCATAATTTATCACTCTTTGGTCTAGCATAGTTCATTACACATCAGCAAAAAAAACAAACAAATTTACAATTTTCAACCAAAACTGTGGCAAAATGGTATCAGTACACATCACTGCAAAAACTCTATTATTTCTGTTTACAATATATATAGCACCAATTAACATCATGGTAATAGAATCTGAATAATTATACCTTTAATAGAATCAGAATTCAAAATGACATTCAATCTTATTTATTTACAACTGCATTGTTTGTGGCAAACTATTCACACTATAGTTGCATCAATTCTTGGGCGTTTCTTCATAGAAAGCTTCAATCTCATTAGTGTATTTGCTGACTGCAAAATGTCTTTTCAGTTTCAGTGTTGGTCCTGAAAAAAAACGAGTAATATAAAATATAGGTACCCCACCTGAATGTCTTGATGTCTGTCAAAATTGTCAAACAGGTACCCCACCTGAATGTCTTGATGTCTGTCAAAATTGTCAAATAGAAACCCCACCTGAACGTCTTGATGTCTGTCAAAATTGTCAAATGAATGGCTCTAAAACAATTGAAATTTCCTTAAGGAAATACCATAAATTACTCAATTAGTAGTGCATACTTTTTCTATGGTCAAAATATTTTAGTGGTAAATGCTTTTACTTCTAATACAAAAAATATGGTAATGTGTTCTGACATGTATGTGCACATTCAAATATAGTGTGTATTGCATACTTTGTGATAGTCAGTGTTTTATGAGTTGTCAGCAAGGTACTTACCAAGTTCACCACCAGCAATTGAAAAATCACCTTCCAGAATAGTAAATTTCTGGACTTTTTGAGCTCTTGATGTTGCATTAGCGTTATAGCGATCTACAGCACCTTGTATAGCTTTGTTGATCTTCTCGTCCTTTTTGGCTTCTGATGACAAAGTAGCATTGCTACCAAGTTCTTTTGCAGCATGGATTGCTGCTGGTGTTAATTTATCTGTTGACTCTTGGGTATCAGGGTTGATAACAACCTACAAATAAAGAAGCAATTGTTAAAAGTTAACAAGCGACCTGACTGTCAAAATAGCTCAACTTTCCTCCAAGAACATTGTGGTAGCCAAGTTGATCACAAAAATAATGTACACCTCAAATATCAAAGCAAAAAAATACAAAAAATATTTGCTGAAAATATCATCATGAAGATATCATGATGAAATGAACAAATCCGACAGAGAACCACCCAAGATACCTACATACATAGTATCAAAGCAATTAATGATGATTAGTGCCTGAGATGCTGAAAATTTACTAATTATTATGCAAATTAGGTAAGTAATACGCACAGATCTTATGCCCAAACTAATGACACGTCTTCACATTGTCCCTGAGCACTTATGTACTGAGTTACATTTCATAGAAATGTGATGATTAGTACAGAGATGCTGAAAATGTACTAATTATTATGCAAATTAGATAATTAATATGCACAGATTTTAACCCAAAACTAATCATGATCTGGTCTGTGTATTGTTGCGGGATACTTACTTTAAGAGTGATCAACATTGCCAGGAACTTTCTCTTATCACCAATCAGCATACAATTACTTATGAGAGGCGACTCGGCTTTCACTTGATCTTCTATGAGTACGGGAGGCACATTCTCGCCACCGGCCGTGATGATGATTTCTACAGTAAAAACAAACAAATATACACCATATTTATTATATCATATAATACTCATAAATTGATATGGTGACAAATGAGTTACAAGTTCACTTGTTATTGCATATTGTTATTAATTTTAACATTTATGCCATACGTATATTCACATGGATAATTATATGACTAGTCAATATACATTTTAGAATAAACTAGAAAATAATTGACTCTTTAGGTTAATGTTACAGGGCCACCTATGTTTTGACTTACTTTAAGAACTTGTCTACATGCTTGATTCCATTATCAATTCAAAAATATTTTAAATTAAATTAAAGATTTAAATTAAGATTGGATCACGTTGATGATAATTTATGAGACAGTTTGTAAATATATTTGTAAAAAAAAAACTGGCAAAAGGTAAGAAAAAATAATGTTGTTTATCAGTGGAAGGTTTTGAGAATTTTCAACTAAATTTTCAGAAAATGCAATATTTTTGAATTATTAGATATCTATATTATTTTATTGCTTGTTCAAAAATAAACAGAAGTATTCATTGGATTTATAGTATTTTTCGGGTCATGGAAATAACAGTTTTTCTATTTTTATTTCAAATCTTTACAAGTCATTGAAAATGACACAGTCCCCATTAAATTTTTGAAAGTTATCTTTGTGCTCGTCATAATAAAGCAGAGGGGTTGTCGCGAGCGTGTCCTTGAAACTTGAGTTCCAAGTGGCGTATACAACAGATTGCTTATTTACATCAAAACATGTGTTCCGTGTAGTAGTAATATGGCCAAAAATAAAGACAGCTGTTATTCGGCCATCGTTGATCTGATTATGAAACACACTGATATGTATGATGTATGTGCCAAATACGAATGAAAATGGTACATAAATTGTGTAAGGTCAAAAAGTCAGATGGCTGTCAATCGGCCATCCTTGACCAGATTTTGAAACAAATTGTCATGGACATGCATCCTAACATGTATAAAGTATATGTATGTGCCAAATTTGAATGAAAACTGACAGAGCACGTCCAAAATAACGCATAAAAAAAAAAAAAAAATGCCTGCCAGTCGACCACTATTGCAAAATAAATCGTCATGGACATGTATCCTAACATGTATAATCTATGTACCAAGTTTGAATGACAACTGACAAAGCATGTTCAAAATACGACATTTTCAAAAAACAAGATGGCTGCCAGTCAGCAATTTTGAATCAAATCGCTAAA